ATATATTAATATATTTTTTTTAATGTAAAACAGTATTTAATTCCTTTTTTGTTTTGAATTTGTTAAATGTATGTATAATAGTAATAATAAATAACAACAAATGGTTAATGATTTAGTTTGTTTAAATTTTTCAAGATTTCTTTTTTTTGTTTAATTTGTTATCTTTAAATACATATCAAATATACAAATATAAGTACAATTTTTGTTTTGGGTTTTAAAATTTTCATATTTCATATGTGTATTTTGATTTAATAAAGAGATGGATTAAAATGTGCAGTGTAGGGAGCCCAAAGCAGAATGAACGCGTTGTGTCATGTGATGCGTTAAATGTTATAGACAAAACAATCCAAAGAAGGATAAACAAGTTTAACGACGTACTTATTTAAGAACGAAGTAAAATATATTTTAAATTTTTGAGACGTGAACGCTCTCATTCTGCTTACTACATATCATGGTAAAAGAATACAGGTAGATGCATCAACGCTTGTGAGCATTTATATGTCAAAATTTTTAAAATGTCTTTTAAAATAAAAGTAGATTTTTAATGTTTTTTATACGACGTCATTCGGAGGTTATTATAATTCGTGTTTTTCAAAAATTTATACCAATTTAAATAATTTTTCATTCAACATTTTCAATTTCAAATTGCTTTGACAGTTCATTGCCTCAGCAGCTGTGTTGACGCGTCTACCTATATTCTTCTACCATGTTAAACATATTTTAAATCGATTGGATTTCAACTGCTAAATGTACTAAACGCCGTACAGACGTAACAAATCGAGTGGAATTTCACTGTAAATTGTCTAAGGTATACGTCAAACCATGGTAGAAGAATATAGGTAGACGCATCGACCCAGCTGCTGGGACAATGAACTGTCAAACCAATTTTGGAATTGAAAATGTTGAAAGAAAAATTATTTAAATTTGTGAAAATTGTTGAAGAACGCGAATTATAATAACCTCCGAATGACGTCGTATTAGAAAATATGTAAAAATCTACTTATATTTGAAAAGAGATTTAAAATTTTTGACATATCAATGTTCTCAAGCGTTGATGCATCTACTTGTATTCTTTTACCATGAGTGGAACACATTCTGATATGAAAGTTAGTGACTAGCTTTCGTTCGCACAAATTTTCTGTCGACATCGTGGAAGAGGCTGGTAGTATTTTCTCAATCTCATATGTCAATTTCATAGCGTATACGTCAAACGATTTACGAATTCGATTTACGTTGACATTTCAATTCGAGTGGATTTAGTAGTCTAAACAGGCTCTTGTACGTCCTACATTTTAATCCACTTCTTTTACCAAGAAAACAAACTTAAAAACATAATTTGTAAGTGATTTTTTTTTTGTTTTTCAAAAATACGAAAAATATTACGAAGAAAAAATTTACAATTAGCAAAGAGTAGAAATTTATAATTCATAATTTTATTTCATAATTTAATATACAATTAGTAATATGTTGTTTTCAAAATAATATTTATTTTTTATAAAAAGTTTTATTAGATTAAAATTAAACACATTTGTACAGTTAGATATAAAAGAAATTTCGTTTTGATATTTTGTAAAATTTGAAGTAGAAGAAGAGAAAAAAAATATATATAGTTTTATATTAATAATATGAGTTTTCATTTTTCTGTTTCTGTTACTCTTACACATTTCACAATGTAAACATAAATGGAAATGCTTTAATATTACACACATAATAGAAGAATCATGGAAGAAGAATATAGGTAGACGCACGACACAGCTGCTGGGACAATGAACTGTCAAACCAATTTTGGAATTGAAAATGTTGAATGAAAAATTATTTAAATTTGTAAAAATTGTTAAAAAATCGAATTATAATAGCCTCCGAATGACGCCGTATAAGAAAGCATTTAAAAATCTACTTATATTTGATAAAAAACTAAATCAATCTTGCCAATTGTCAATGGCAAACATTCAAAAAAACTATTGTAAAGATATAATTGCACAAGATTACCTTGATTGTTCTAACACGGGCTGTCCGAAGAATACTGAAAACTTTAATAATAATGCATTTTGACAGTTCGATGGCCAATCAGCTGTTCAGGGTGAGATAACAAACTGCAACCAACTTCAGACTGCTATCATTTCTAAGACACTCGTCCGACAGCAGTTAAAATTATTCCAGTGACAGCTCATTATATTGTTTACAAGCGTACAAAAGCATTTTGGTGAGCACTTTCCAGAAAAAAAGTTATTCGTGATGGAATTTAAGCGTGACAGTGTGATTTCTTTATATTTGGCTAGAAAACCACAAGTGGCTATCGTTAGAGCAATCCAGCATTTCAATGTGAATAAATCTTTTGTGTCTCGTACCATCGCTCGTTACCGTGATACTGTTAGCGTAGCCCGACGACGTCAAGGAAATGGACGGAAGAAAACAGCAACATCAGCAGAAATGCAGCAGTTCGAAAAGTAAAGAAGCGACTTGATCGAATCCCGCCTCGCAGTGGCCAAAAAATGGCTCGTGAGCTGAACATATCGCAATATTCCATGCGGCAAATATTGAAAAATGAGCTCAGGGTAAAGCCACTGAAATTCCAGAAAGCGCAAGAACTTACACCGCAACAAAAAGAAAATAGACTCAAAAGAGCTAAAGAAGAGTTGCTTTGTTTGTCCGCGAAAGTGGTAAACTTCCGAATTTGGTTTTCTCCAATGAGAAAACATTCGTTGTCCAGCGGTTTGTAAACAAACAAAATGATCGTGTTTACTTGCCATAGAGGTCAGCTGAAAATGTGCACCTTTGGTTGGCCGACAACCAGATTTCAAGCGCCAGTCATGGTGAGCTCTCCGATAACTTTAACAATAATGGATTTTGATAGTTCTGGCAAATCGGCTGATTTTCTTAGAAAACCAAATAGACGAGGTTATAGCATGTATAAGGTATTTACGGTGTTTAATAGATCCAATGGATTTCAATCGTCGATTTCATTGCGTGTACTTTAATCAAAATTAAAGATTTGAAGGTTTGAAATCATGGTAGAAGAATTTAGGCAGACACATCGACACAGCTGCTGGGACAATGAACTGTCAAAACAATTTTGGAATTGAAATTTTTTAAAGAAAAATTATTCAAATTAGTAAAATGTGTTGAAAACACTTATTATAATAACCTCCGATTGACGTCCTATAAGAAAACATATAAAAATCTACTTATGTTTGAAAAAAAAAAAAAAAAACATTTAAAAGTTTTTGACATATCAATGTTCCTAACCGTTGATGCATCTACCTGTATTCTTGTACCATGTTTGAAATTGCTGGATTTATTTTATGTAAACAAGCCTTAAGAAAATATATCAAATAAGCCACATTATAGCAATTGAACATGAAAAAGGTGAACACAGCTGCTAGGACAATGAACTGTCAAACCAATTTGGAAATTGAACATTTTAAGTGAAAAATTATTCAAATTCTCAAAAATTTTTGGAAAATGCAAATCATAACAACCTCCGATTGGCTTCGTATAAAAAAAAACAAAAACAAATACTTATTTTTGAAAAAAAAGACCTTTTAAATTTTTTGACATATCAATGTTCCCAAGCGTTGATGCATCTACCCATATTCTTCTACTATGGCCGGTTATTACCTCTTTCCGACAAATAAAGCAATGTAGTTGTTGTGGACAAAAAATCCATCACTACAAAAAACAAAACGTTGCTGTGAAAAAAGATCTGCCAATAGAACTTGAGTCGAACCTGGAGAGTTTCTAGTGTATAATTCGCATATGCTAATTTGCAATAAGTTCGAAATATATACTACTTTCCAGAGAACGGCCCTTGTAAGCCATCATCCACATCAAATATGCCTGATGAGCCGCTTAACCAACGGCGAAACGCGTCGCATAGTGGTGAGTGTGTGATAGTGTCTATCTGGCTTTCCTTTTCACTGCAAATTTCAGATCATTAAGCTCGTCTCGGAAGAGAAAACAAACACTTGAAAAAAAAAAAAAAAAAAGTTATGTTGGCCGACTCATAAATCGTATTTAGTTATTACAAGTTTCATTTAAGTATGAACTGTCCGATAAGCAAAAGGTCAGACCATCTTCCCTTTATCTTTTAACCATGGCTCAATACGAAATGTTGCTCAACTTCAAAGAAACTAGGAAAATGCAACTCTGTTCTGGAGTCTTAGCCGGTTATTACATCTTCCCGATTGATAAAAAGTGATTTTGTCGGACACATAAATCGTTTTTCGTCATTACAAGTTTCATTAAAGTATAAACTGTCCGATAAGCAAAAGGTCAGACCATCTCCCCTTTATCTTTTAACCTAAAGTTTAATTCATGGTAGAAGAATATAGGTAGACGCGTCGACACAGCTGCTAGGACAATGAACTGTCAAACCAATTTTGGAATTGAAAATGTTGAATGAAAAATTGTTTAAATTTGTAAAAATTGTTGAAAAACGCGAATTATAATAGCCTCCGAATAACGTAGTATAAGAAAACATATAAAAATCTACTTATATTTGAAAAAACATTTAAAATTTTTTGACATATCAATGCTCCCAAGCGTTGATGCATCTACCTGTATTCTTCTGCCATGGTTTAATTCATGAATTCATGTTGCCATATTTTTTATTGATAATATGGCAATAACAAATTTTATTTAAATAAAAAAATTGATAACGCATATATTTTATTTAGTATTGAAGAGTTGAATTATAAAATGATTTCACGAAATTAATTTACAAATTCGTTTTGTTTTACTATTTTTAAATTAAAATGAAGATGCCATTGTGAACAAAATGTGGTGACTACCAGTTACTTTAAAAAAAAAAAACAGGTTGCCATATCTCTGTAAAGTTTGCATATATTTTAAGGGAAAGATGTAATAAAGGAAACCCGATAATGTGAACTTTATCCTTCACATTTCCTAAAGTAGGGGATAATAAAATTGATCTATAGAGTAAAGATATATGAACGGGCCATAAATTTCTTTTACAAAATCTATTAACAATTTGTTTTGTTTATTATTTTTAAATTAAAATGAAGTTGCCACTGTGAATACATGCAGTGACTACTAGTTACTTTTACAAAAAGCTTGCCAGATCTCGGTAAAGTTTGCATATGTTTTAGGGGAAAGATGCATGGTAGAAGAATATAGGTAGACGCGTCGACACAGCTGCTGGGACAATGAACTGTCAAACCAATTTTGGAATTGAAAATGTTGAATGAAAATTATTTAAATTTGTAAAAATTGTTGAAAAACGCGAATTATAATAGCCTCCGAATGACGTAGTATAAGAAAACATATAAAAATATACTTATATTTGAAAAGACATTTAAAATTTTTTGACGTATCAATGTTCCCAAGCGTTCATGCATCTACCTGTATTCTTCTGCCATGGGAAAGATGTAATAATGAGAACCCGATAATGTGAACTTTGTCCATCAATTTTCCTAAAGTAAGGGATAATAAAAGTGGACTATAGAGTAAAGATATAAGAACGTGCCTATGACTTAAATATAAAACTGTGACTTTAAGATTCTGTGTAATATAAAACAATCCATTTTGTTTACCGAAACATGTAATTAGTTAGAAAAAATGTATAATTAGTTTATTTAACTATGTGTAGATAATAAATTGTTGAAGTTTTTAGTCAATTATACATTGAAAATGACTTTTTGTCGGGGGATTATTTATAAGTATATGTATATATATAGTAATAAGTGTATAATATGTAAAATTGTCGTTTTATTTTGTAATAAAACGTAGTTAATATAAATTAAACAAAAAAACGAAAAGTGATAACATTTTTAGGTCATATGATTCGATTTAATGTTTTAAAGTACTTTCCATTGAATCCGAAGTTATTAAGTATTGGCTCAGCCAAAATTTAATGATATTTTTTTAAACCCAAACACATCAAAATCCTTCCATATGACCTGGTATATATTTTTTTTAAATTAACTAAGTTTTTTTTAGGTATATACATTTATAAATACATAGTATATGTATAATGTTGTGAATGAGTGTTTTTTTTTGTTTTTCTATTTTTAATTAAATAAATACTCCAAATATTTACATAAAAAGTAAACTATAATAAATATCATTAACACAAATTTTTTGATATTTTTTATGGAATTTTTTTTTGTTGTTTTTAACTTTGAATAATTCTAAGCATTGCTCTCACATTTTAGTTATATTTTTCTTCTTCTATAGATTTTATTTACTTTGTAGGATTGTGTGGAGGGGAGGGGGGGATTTGTTTTGTTCCATTGTTTTGACTTTTTATTTTTCTAATCAATAATACTTAAAACAAATGTGGTTTGGGGATGAGCATTGGTCTTACTTTTAATCATCCCACGTTGGAAACTCTGTTTCATCCACAAACATACTAAATGTTCCCGAGTTGCCAGCTGTCTGTCCGATTCCGGGATTTCGTGCACTTGTTGTGTTGTGTGTATTGGCCACCGGTGGGGGATTTGAGTTCTTTTGTGATTTTGTGGAATAATTTGAAGATTGTTCTGGAAAAGGTAAAAGAAAACGCAAATAAATCAAAACAGGGTTTCAGAATATTTGTCGTAATTTATAATACAATAGATATTTTCAATTTCAAAATTGGTGTGACAGTTCATTTGACAGAGTAAAACCAGTAAAGAAAGTCTAAAGGTGAGAATACATAAAATGCTTTTTTGACTAGCCTAAGTCATCGACTGGCTTCTTCGGAAACGAACAAAGGAGCATAGAGCCAAAATCGAACTAAGTAAACCTTCCTCTACGAAGAGAAACAAAGGAGTTTTAGGTTAACCTAGTTCGATTTTGGTCCCACGCTCCTTTATTCTTTTACGATGAAGCCAGCCGATGACTTCAACCAGCCAAAAAAGCATTTTATGTCCCGTTCTCACACATTTTTCCTTTATAGTCCACTTTTGTTACCCCTTTCTTTAGGAAAAGTAAAGTATAAAGTTCATATTATCGGGTACTCATTATAACATCTTTCCTTTAAAATATATGCATTTTTTACAGAGATATGGCAACCTGTTTTTTAAAGTAACTGGTATTCACTGCATTTTTTTCACAATGGCATCTTCATTTTATTTTGAAAATAATAAACAAAATGCGAATTTGTAATTAATTTCATGAAATAAATTTATAATTCTGTTCTTCAATATAAAATAAACGACTTGTGATATCCATGTCTTTATTTAAAAAATTTTGCTGTTATTGCCATATTATCAATAGAAAATATGGCAACATGAATTCCGTAAACTTTACGTTAAAAGATTAAGGGAAGATGGTCTGACCTTTTGCTTATCGGACAGTTCATACTTAAATGAAACTTGTAATAACGAAATACGATTTTTGTGTCCGACAACATAACTTTTTTATCTATCGGCAAGATGTAATAACCGGCCTATGTATTCTATCCTTAAAAATCGGAAAAAAAATTATGATATATCAAAATCAAATATACAGGGTGAGATAAAAAAATCTGCAACAAAGTCAAACGCCATAATTTTTACATTTTCTCTTGAATTTTTTTGAATGTAAGCAAAAAATGTCGGAAATAGCATCAGCTTTTAGAATAAGTTTAGATTTATTCGAATTGGTCACCTTTGACACGAATTATGGCCTTCAAACGACCAATGAAACTGTCACATGCTGCCCGAATGTTTCTCTGCGGTATTTTGGCCCATTCCCAGCGAAGAGCTTATTTGAGGTGATCGACACTTTGGAATTGTTAAGTGCCAACCTTGCTTTCCAAAATACTCCAGACACAATAGTCCAACGGATTGGTATACGGAGATTTTGGTGGCCATGTGCGCTGGAAATTCAGCGAGGAACCTCATTTTGTAACCATTCTTGGGTGGCACGTGCTGAGAGCGATGGTGCTGAGTCCTGTTGTGATGTCCAAGGTCTGCCTCCAAAATGTTTGCGTGTCCAAGGCTTTATACACCCCCTAGAATATTTTCGCGATAATATTCGGCATTTATTCTGATGCCACGTTCGATAAATATGAGTGGAGAGCGACCATCGGCTGTTATGGCGGCCCCCACCCACCCATCACCATGGCCGGCGCTTGTGTTCTGGTGGCCGGCCAACCGAAGGTGCACATTTTCAGCTGATCTCTTTGGCAAGTAAACACGATCATTTTGTTTGTTTACAAACTGCTGGACAACGAATGTTTTCCCATCGGAGAAAACCAAATTCGGCAGTTCATCACTTTTTTTCAGTCAAGCGAAGCAACTCTTTAGCTCTTCTGAGTCTACTTCCTTTCTGCTGCGATGTAAGTTCTTGCACCTTTTGGAATTTCAATGGCTTTACTTAATATTGCGATATGTTCAGCTCACGAGCCATTTTACGGCCACTGTGACGCGGGTGTCGATCAAGTCACTTCTTTACTTTCTGCGAACCATTTCTGCTGATGTTGCTGTTTTCTTCTGTCCACTTCCTTGACGTCGGGTTACGCTACCAGTATCACGGTAACGAGCGATGGTACGAAAGATACAATAGATTTATTCACATTTAAATGCTGAAGTCCTCTAACGATAGCCACTAGTGTTTTTTCAGCCAAAAATATAAAGAAATCACACTATCCCGCTTGAATTCCATCACGAATACCTTTTTTTCTGGAAAATTCTCACCTCAAAAATTCTCTCTCACAATATAATGAGCTGTCACCGGAATAATTTTAACAGCTGTCGGACGAGTGGCTTAGAAATGACAGCAGTCTGAAGTTGGTTGCAGTTATTTTTATCTCACCCTGTACATATGAGAGCCAAATCTGAACCGACCTCATTAAAATTTGGGAAAGGTATTTTGTGATATATTTCCCCGAATATTTTTGTTACAGAGTGCATATTACGGCTGCGGAGGACAAAAATGTCAAATCGGATGAACAATATATATGGGAGCTATAGCTATTTCTGAACCGATTTCGATCAAATTTGGCATACATATTTCCAGGCTTAATATGGTCGTATATGTAAAATTTCATCCCGATAGGGCTAATATTACACGTTTGGTGCACAATTAAAAGCAAATCGGACGAAGATATATATTTGAGCGATATCTAAATTGTTACCGATTATCTGCAATTTCAGTAGGGTTCGTCCTTGGGTCAAACAAATGCCTTGTGCAAAATTTCATCTGGATCGGGCAATAAATGCGACCTGTACTTTGTTTACAGAAATACACGGACAGAAAGACGAACGGACATGCATAAATCGACTCAGAATGTGATTCTATGCAGATCATCAAAAGGAACAATGGCTCTATCTGCTCTCCTTTTGTCTGTTACCAACAAATGCACAGAGACATAATACCCAGACCACCTTGTGTGGTGTCTGGTATAAAGACGTAAAAATTGTCTGTGCTAGAGGGATCTATAGATCGATTTTTTAATAACACATTTCCTAAGATCTATACATGGTAGAAGAATATAGGTAGAAGAATCGACACAGCTGCTGGGACAATGAACTGTCAAAACAGTTTTGGAATTAAAAATGTTGAATGAAAAATTATTTAAATTTGTAAAAATTGGTAAAAAAAAAACACAAATTATAATAACCTCTGAATCACATCGTATAAGAGAACATATAAAAATCTACTTATATTTGAAAAAAAAAAAAAACATTTAAAATTTTTTGACATGTCAATGCTCCCAAGCGTTTTTGCATCTACCTGTATTCTTCTGCCATGGATCTATACTTACTTGTTGTATTTTTTGTATTTGTTGTGGTATTATCTTTGCTGGCCCATACTGGTTCATGATTTTGATTCATAAAGGAAGGTTGATCCCAGACTGCTTTCTCCTCCACATTGGCATTTTTACTCTGTGAAAAAAACATGAAAAACAGTTTTATTTAAACCTAACCTCATTCTCTCATCTTCCAGCCGCACTTACATAATCTTTATCCACTCGTAGCTCCATTTCATCGGTAGTTTGTTCCAGACTACTGTGCGTAATGCCATAGTAGAAATACACCACTAGACCCAAGGTCATCCAAATGGTAAATCTAACTAAGGTTAAGATGCTTAACTTAAATATTAAATAAATATTGACGGCAACGGCGATTGCCGGAATAAATGGAAGTCCAGGGGTGAGGAACGCAAGTGCATATCTATGAAGAGAATTCACACACGCACACACAGAGAAAGAACAAGAGACACAGAACGAGAGAAAAAGGGAGAGACAGTTGGTGATTAGTAGTGGTTGCCAGATCGTTCCCACAAATCACTGTTGGGAAGTCAATGGATAAGGGATTTCGTTTAGTTTACCTATTTTGTGGTTGTCTTGAGATAATTAATAATATCACAAATATGCCGATAATTAAAATGAAATAAATGAATGCTGCGAAGCCACCGGACCAGCCAATGGCCGCAAACAGATCCAAGAAGAATATGAGACCGAACATGATGCCAACAAGCTTGGTCACATACATGCCTGTGTGGGTGCACAAAAATTTAGAATTTTGAAAACACAAAAACAAATTTAGTTTTTTCTTTGAAAACACAAATAAAATTATTGTTCCAGTAGCTGCAAGAATCGAATAGTTTTGTAAATATTTCCGATGTCATAGAAAAAGGAAAATCGGTTATCATAGTAAAATCGTAGTACATTCTTGCAGTTCTGGAACAGACCAAAAATTTATTTTTTTTAAGGAGAAAACTCATTGGAGCTCTCAGCATACTTACCACTTTCCGAGGTGGCTTGACCCGGATTGATCCAGGGGAAAAATCCAGGACACAGGTACGAATATTCATGAATTTTGCGTGAGACAAAATTCAGACCCATTGTATCGAAGGCATTGGCCTGACCCGTTGGTCCGGTGGGTGCTCCATGGACAGCACCATAGAATTTATTCTCTGAACGATCGGATACCAAAAATTGATCATCACGACCCATATAGCCATCGGGACTTTCATCAATGAATGAATCATCCGAATCGGACATGCCGCGGGTTACACGTTTTATTGTTAGCTTATTTGATTCCATAACTTCAGCGGTAGTGGCTCGGGGATCCCCCGACGCCCCGGCGGCAATGGGTGTACGTAATTGTGCTGGAAGCAGCTCGATGAGCGATGTACTATGTGGCTGATAGCGTAATATTAAAACACAAGTCGATACCAAAGTGTAGGCTAGAAGGGTACCAATGGACATCATTTCGACGAGAATTTCCAAGCGTACAGAGAGTGCCACGAGGGCAGCTGCAATACCGCTACCAATTGTTGCCAAACCTGGTACATTTGTACGTTGCCACAGCTGTGAGAGTTGTCTGGAAATTTATGAAGAAAATCGAGATTTAAAAATTAAATTCATTTAAAATTAAAAGAAATTTAAAATTAAAAATCGACTTATTTCTGACAAGATATTTTAAAAATGTTGACATATAAATGTTCCTTAGTGTTGATGCATCTACCTGTATTCTTCTACCATGTGGACAACATTTCAGTTGTGAAACACATGAGTAAAGTTCATATGTTCTTTTTCGATCACGCGAGCCCTATATTCATCAGTGTTTTTTATTGGGGTATGGAACTTTAAGTTGGCATCACTTTCTTAACTGGCGGCCATTTTGTCAGCTGTCAAGTGATTAATATTTAGTTTGGTTTGCCATTTCATCATGAACAGGTTGACAAAAGAACAATGCTTGCAAATCGGGCAAATTTATTTCGAAAGTTCACCGCAAGCTCCGTTGTCATTTTTGGTCGACATAATCGTCCATCAGAGCAATTAATTCGGTTAACCATGGATCGTTTTCACACTATGTTTACTTTATGTGATAATATGCATCCGCAGAGACGTCGGAGAGTGCGCACCGAAGAAACAATTGCCGCTGTAGAGCAAAGTGTTGAAGAGGACCCGAATGAATCGATTCGCCACCCGTACACAGCAATTGCAGCTTTGTCCATCAATTTCATGGAAGATTTTGCGCAAAGATCTTGGCTTGCGACCTTACAAGATCCAGCTTGTGCAAGAATTAAAGCCGCGAGATCATGCAATGCGTCGTGATTTTGGTGTATGGGCCGAAAATAAGATTCATCTCAATGCTGATTTTCATCACAACATTTTGTTCAGTGATGTGGCTCATTTTTGGTTGAATGGCTACGTCAACAAGAAAAAATTGCCGCATTTGCAGTGAAAAGAGAATCCACATGAGACCCTTGAAACGCCATTACATCCACAAAAACTGACTGTTTGGTGTGCTCTATGGGCTGGTAGAATCATTGGGCCATACTCCTTTCGAAATAATGCAGGAGAGTCAGTTATCTTTAATAGAGACCGGTATAGAGCCACGATAACCGACTATTTTGTTCCCGAATTGGATGGCATAAATGTGAATGAGTTGTGGTTCCAACAAGACGCCGCTACATGCCACACAGCCTACGTCACAATCGAATTATTGAGAGAAACATTCGATGAGCGTATAATTTCGCGGAATGGACATGTCAATTGGCCACCAAGATCGTGTGATTTGACACCATTGGATTTTTTTCTTTGGGGATATGTAAAGCCGCTCGTCTACGCCAACAAACCAGAAACGTTAGGGGACTTGGAAGCCAAAATTCGCTCGTATTAATCGAGCGTGGCCTCAGAATAAATGCCGAATATTATCGCGAAATCATTCTGAAGGGTGTATTAAAGCCTTGGGCATGCAAACATTTTGGCTGCAGGCCTTGGACATTCCAACAGGACTCAGCACCATCGCAGCACTCAGCACGTGCCACCCACGAATGGTTACAAAATGAGGTTCCTCACTTCAATGGCTTCAACGGATACCAATCCGTTGGACTATTGTGTCTGGAGTATTTTGGAAAGCAAGGTTGACACTAAAAAATACCAAAGTGTCGATCACCTCAAGCAAGCGATTCGCCGGGAATGGGCCAAAATACCGCAAAACAACATTCGGGCAGCATGTGACGGTTTCATTGGCCGTTTGAAGGCCATAATTCGTGCCAAAGGTGACCAATTCGTACAAATCTAAACTTATTCTTAAATTTGAAAAATTTTCGACATTTTTTGCTTTCATTCAATAAAATTTAAAGAAATATGGAAAAATTATGGCCGGTGACTTTGTTGCACTTTTTTTTGTCTCACCATGTAAAACAGAAGACTGCTGTAGATGTCCATTGCACATTGACAACCCAACCTTAACCTTTCTATACTCTCGCACGGTCTGTGAGACCGACTAATAGTGTTTTAAGTTTTTTCATATGAACGAAGAGCGCAATGAAAGACTAGGGCCCGTTATTATATCTTCCCTTTATAGTCCACTTTTGTTATGCCTTACTTTAGGAAAAGTAAAGGATAAAGTTCACATTATCGGATTCTCATTATTATATCTTTCGTTTAAAGTTGATGCATTTCTTACGGAGATATGGCAAGCTATTTGTAAAAGTAACTGGTAGTCACAGCATTTTTTTTTTTCACAATGGCATCTTCATTTTAGGTTGAAAATAATAAACAAAACGAATTTGTAATTAATTTCGTGAAATAAATTTATAATTCAGTTCTTCAATATAAAATAAATGATTTGCGTTATCCATTTCTGTATTTAAATATATTCTGCTGTTATTGTCATATTATCAATATAAAATATGGCAATATGAATTCAGTAAACTTTTGGTTAAAAGATAAAGGGAAGATGGTCTGGCCTTTTGCTTATCGGACAGTTTTTTATTTAAATGAGACTTGTAATAACGAAAAACGATTTATGTGTCCGACAACATTACTTTTTATCTATCGGAAAGATGTAATAACCGACCTAGAAGTCATAAATAATTTTTTTTCTGTACAACTTTTGTTTACATAACTCAAAAAATATGTTTCTAATAATACATGGGGTTTAAATATTTTTTTTAACCAGTATAAATTTAGAAGGCTCTGAAAATATCGGTCTGTGACAGACCGGGGGTGAGTACACGTTTTAAATTTTTTGACGCAAGTTACGTATTTAAAAAAAATATATGAATTAAATTATGCCCTCCACCACTCTATTTTATTTATTGTTTTTACGAGTCATTACCCATTATGTTTTGTTATTTTGATTCATTTCCCCAACTCATTATCACTGTCTATCATTTACAACTACCATTCTCTTTGTAATAATATCTCTCTTTCTCTTTATGAATATTCCACTCTCTTTTTTAACTCTCTTTATCTATTTTTGGTTTAAATATTCATAACACTATTAATTTGGGTTCAGTTGAAGTTTTTATAAAAAATATTTAAATAAATAAATTACATGTTTTTTAATCTATAGCGCGTATAACCTTCCTATAGACGTCGATATATTAGCACAAGAAAATAATTACAAAATACGATTTACATTGGAAATGTTACATATTATAAGTTTACCAAATGACAAACGAGTTAATTATAAAACTTACAGAAGCCTAGTTCAAAAACTCCGACGAAAGAAAACTTATGGCCCGATTATCGATAACAACTATCGTTGAGTGGCGTCGCCAGTTGCGAAAATTGCATTATGTATGGCAACTTTCAACTGAAGTTGCGAATTTCAGTTGCTACAGCGGCCATATTTGAGCAACCATCTATTTGCAGTTGCAGTGAACGTTTTCATAGAAGAAAAAGCAAAATTGAGAGGTAAATACACTATTTCTTAACAATTATTGATTTTTTAGCTTTACTAAATCATTTTGCATATAATTTTAGATTGAATATGGTGAAAGTAACAACAAAACATCAGTTCGAAATACCTATAGAAAAAATGGGTTCTAATCCAAACTTAGCTCGAGGAATCCGTGTCTTTGGTGAAACCAAAGTCACTGCAGATGAAGCATGGAATAAAATTTCCGATATCCTAAACAGACATGGTCCACCAACAATGACACCAGAAGAATGGCAAAGAGTATGGATCCATTTTAAAGCTAAGCTTAAGAAGAAAATGTCGCAAAATAAAAGAAATCTTAACGCCACAGGTGGTGGTCCATCACAAGAAGTGCGTCTATCGCCGTTGGAGCAAACCGCAGCATATCTACTACAAATAAATTTAGTAACAGATCCCGCAGGTGCCATTTACGGAATAATGGAGACATGGGATGAAGATGGTCTAGAAATAGTGTCAAATATTGAGGTGGAGCAAGAAGAAGCTGCTACCCATGGCAATTTCAACGGATTTGAATTATCTCTCAAGCTTCGTCGAATAGATGCAACGTCCTGAACATTTTTTTCTTCATCAAAAAATAATTCCACTGAGATTATCATTTTAAAATGCTTTTATTGTTTAAATTGTGTTTTGTTATTTCGAATTTATTGACATTTTTGAAGTTTAGAGTTCACAAGATGGAAAATACACTGATCGATAACACGTTTATCGACAACTCAATTGGGTTGCATTCTATAATGCAACATTTTATTTCAGTCGCGCTGACAACTAATAACGCAATCCAAGTTTGGTGGCAATGCATAATCGAGCCATTAGTTTGATAGTGACATTTAAACTGAATAGACGAGCTTTTACTTTAAAATGTATGTTATTTATTGTGTTATATTTTGTTAAAATCAGTTTGTAATTTGTGTGTGTTTTTTTTGTAAAACAGATCCCTGAAGATGATTTCCGGAGGAAATCGAAATAAGGAAAAATTCAAAAATAAAAAACAATAGTTTTTTAATGACCTAAAGCCAAGCAATTAACCAAATAAGTAACAAAAAAATATATTTTTTCGAAAAGATCCCATAACAGCTATTGAGGATTTCGAAAAATATTTCATGAAGAGCCATGATCCTGATTTTTTAAGGAATAATTAAAAAAAAACTCAAATATTTTTTTTCTCGAATTACATTCCAACTCACCTAAATATCAAACCATCCTGGGCCATGGCATAAATAACACGGGGCATGGGAAACATGGAACCAAACATGGCCACCGAAAGACCCGCTGTGGCACCAATTGCCACAATTGCCCTACACTTGGGCGCATTGACATATGTCCACATTTGCACCAAAGCTGCACCCGTATTGATGTGATCGTAGGGCACCACCAGTGTCAATACCAAACTGACGGTGACATAGGCCAGCAAGACGACGACCAATGAACCCAATATTGCTTTTGGAATACTTTTTTGTGGATTATGGGCCTCCTCGCCCGTTGTGGCTATTATGTCAAAGCCAATAAATGCATAAAAACAGGTGGCAGCACCGGAAAATACCTAAAAAATAAAACAAAATTGTTAAAATAATTTTTAAGGGTTATTTTTTATAGATTTACACCTACCCCACTCCAGCCATAGGGCAGAAAGCCCTGATGCTCTGTCCATGTACTGGAATCCACATAGAAAAACCCGGCGGTCATAACAAATACCCAGGTGGCCAAATTAATGGCATTTAAAGTATGATTGAATATCACGGATTTACTGGCGCCCAACGCTAATACCACAGTCATCATGAGCGTTATGCCAAAGGCTATAAAATCCGGTGGTTTACCTAGGAAGAGGGTGGAAGAATGAGATCTCCATATCCTAAATCTTTCAAAACAAATCCATTTACTTACCAAATATGGTACCCACTGTATCACTAATTGTGCTTGATATTGCACCACCAGTAAGTGAATCAAAACTGGAGCTTAACGCACATGCACAGGCACTTGTTCCTGCAATGGAAAACCAAATAAAATATTTGTAGAAGTGGCATATAACGATGAGGGCGTCACGTTTCATTGAATTTTCAATTTCGAAATCAACTTTAAGCCATTGCTGCTTACCTATTAAATATTCCAATATCATATTCCAACCAATAACAAATGCAACAAATTCACCAACAGCAACATATGAATACATATACGCCGAACCGGACGTATGCGGTACTCGTACACCGAATTCCGCATAACAGGCGCCTGCAACATAAGGAAAAGAGAGGGGGAAGTATTCTAGGTTTAGAACTGAAGAGAGAAATTTTATGGAACTAAACTTGGATACTAGAAAGCCATTGAATGCATCAGGTCTAGAGTAAAAGATATGGGCAAAAAACGCCCACATATCCCTATGGAACAATGTGACAAAGACATAGGGCCCGTTTTTATATCTTTCCTTTATAGTCCACTTTTGTTATCCCTTACTTTTGGAAAAGTGAAGGATAAAGTTCACATTATCGGGTTCTCATTATTATATCTTTCCTTTTAAATATATGCATTTTTACAGAGATATGGCAACCTGTTTTTTAAAAGTAACTGGTATTCACTGCATTTTTTCACAATGGCATCTCCATTTCAGTTTAAAAATAATAAACAATATGCGAATTTGTAATTAATTTTGCTAAATAAATTTATAATTCAGTTCTTCAATATAAAATAAACGATTTGTGATATCCATTACTTTATTTAAAAAAAATTTGCTGTCATTGCCATATTATTATCAATAAAAATATGGCAGTAAACTTTAGGTTAAAAGATAAAAGGAAGATGGTCTGACCTTTTGCTTATCGGACAGTTCATACTTAAATGAAACTTGTAATGACGAAAAACTTTTTTATCTATCTGAAAGATGTAATAACCGGACATAGAGGTATAAAGATAGGACAAGACAGAGTCACAATATGGCAACCCTGTGAAAAATACATCTGATCTTACGATATCACGGCAACATAGATACCATGGTAGAAGAATATAGGTAGATGCATCAACGATTGCGAACATTGATATATCAAAATTTTAAAATTGTTTTGTCAAAAATATGTAGATTTTTATATATTTTCTTATGCGATGCAAATCGAAGGTTGTTACAATATGCCTTTCTCAGCAATTTTTACAAATTTTAATAATTTTTCATTCAAAATTTTCAATTTTAAATTCGGTTTGACAGTTCATTGTCCCAGCAGCTGTGTCGAAGCGACTACCTGTATTCTTCTATCATGATAGATACCAATTATGGTAGAAGAATATAGGTAGACGCATCGACACAGCTGATGGGACAATGAACTGTCAAAACAATTTTGGAATTGAAAATGTTGAATGAAAAACTATTTAAATTGGTAAAAATTTTTGAAAAACGAGAATTATAATAACCTCCGAATAATGACGTATAAGAAAACCTATAAAAATCTACTTATATTTGAGAGAACATTTAAAATTTTTTGACATATCAATGTTGCCAAGCATTGATGCATCTACCTGTATTCTTCCAACATGGATACTAACTGATTTTAGCCGCTAAGGGAATGTAAATTTTTGAAAAGTATACGGGGTGAGATAAAAAAGTCAAACGCCATAATTTTTACAATTTTTTTTTTAAATTTTATTGAATGAAAGCAAAAAATGGCGGAAATAGCATCAAATTTTAGAATAAGTTTAGAATTATTCGAATTGGTCACCATTGGCACGAATTATGGCCTTCAAACGGCCAATGAAGCGGTTACACGCTGCCCCAAATGTTGCTCTGCGGTATTTTGACCCATTCGGGGCGAAGCATTTGCTTTAGGTGATCGACATTTTGGTATTTTTTTAGTGCAAACCTTGCTTTCCAAAATACTCCAGACACAATAGCCCAACGGATTGGTATCCGGAGATTTTGGTGGTCATTGTGCGCTGGAAATGAAGCGAGGAACCTGATTTTGTAACCATTATTGGGTGGCGAATTCTGTTGGAATGTCCAAGATCTACGGCCAAAATGTTTGCGTGCCCAAGGCATGCAAAGGGTGTATTACGCCCTCCAGAATATTTTCCCTATAATATTCGGCATTTATTCTGATGCCACGGGTGATTAATACGAGCAGAGAGCGATCATCGGCTGTTATGGCGGCCCGCATCATCACCATGGCCGGCGCTTGACTTCTGGTGGCCAACTGAAGGTCCACATCTTCATTTGACCTCTTTGGCAAGTGTTTACAAACCGCTGAACAACGAATGTTTTCTCATCGAAGAAAACCAAATTCGGCAGTTCACCACTTTCTTCGGCCAAGCGATGTAACTCTTTTGCTCTTTTGCGCCTAATTTCTTTCTGTTGCGGTGTAAGTTCTTGCACTTTTTGGAATTTCAATGGTTTTACCCCGATCTAATTTTTCAATATTTCGCGAATGGAATATTGCGATATATTCAGCTCACGAGCCATTTTTTCGGCCACTGCGACGCGGGTTTCGATCAAGTCGCTACTTTACTTTCTGCGAACCATTCTGCTGATGTTGCTGTTTTCTTCCGTCCACTTCCTTGACGTCGTCGGGCTACGCTTCTAGTAACACGGTAACGAGCGATGGTACGAGACACAAAAGATTTATTCACATTTAAAGGCTGGAGTGCCCTAATGATAGCTACTTGTGTTTTTTTAGCCAAATATAAAGAAATCACACCATCACGCTTGAATTCCATCTCGAATAACTTTTTTTCTAGAAAATTCTCACCAAAATGCTTTTATACGCTTGTAAACAATATAATGAGCTGTCAATGGAATAATTTTAACAGCTGTCAGACGAGTGGCTTAGAAATGACAGCAGTCTGAAGTTGGTTGCAGTTTTTTCATCTCACCCGATATGTCGACAGTTTGCCATTGTGTCAATGCCCAGTTTTTTGATTCAGTAAACTCTATAACGTTTTAATATTTTGACGTCTTGGCAACCCTATTTCTATACGATAGTTCATCTATTTGGCGATTTTGGTTATCCCTAAACCGATGGAGATGACGTTGTCTGAACTAATTCAGTTACTCCTTTCAGTGAATAGTCAAGATATTCAATTTGTTTAATTCCAGAACCTGTATTACGTGGCATGGCACAAACAGCTGACCATCAGAACAGCTGTGAAATTACATTACTGTGAATGAGACCCCAATACAAAATATAAAAAATAATAGCAGTTGATACCCTTATTAATATCGAAGTATAAGATATTTTTCATGGAGCTTGATTTTTCCTACATTAAGGTGAGATGGCATAAAATGCTTTTTTTACAGGCTTAAGTCATCGGCTGGCTTCTTCGAAAAAGAAATAAGGAGCTTTATGTTGGCTTAGTTCAATTTCGACCAATAATTTATACTACGCTTCTTGGTTTTTTTATGAAGAAGCCAGCCGATGACTTAAGCCAGTCAAAAAAGCTTTTTATGTATTCTCGTCTTAATTGCCTTTGCTAAAGCTTTGATCGTTATTTTCGTTCAGTAGTTTGATTGTTTCAATGCCCAGTTTTTTGATTCAGTAAATAAGTAAACTCTATATTGTTTTAATATTTTGACGTCTTGGCAACCCTATTTCTCTACGGTTATTCATTTAACATTCGTTGGGGATTTTGGCCATTTGAAGTTCTCTTTTGTCCCTAAACCGATGAAGATGACTTTGTCTGAATTAACTCAGTTACTCCTTTCAGTGAATAGTCAAGATATTCAATTTGTTCAATGCAATGTTGTGTGGCGTTCATTGTCAAATTTTTTGACAAAAGTAATCATCTTCGTCGAACTTATCAAATCAAGTGAGCCCGCAAATTCCTTTCAATACAAAAAAGTTTTAGTCCCCCAAAAAACAAATTTTAATTAAAGCAAAAAAAAAAAAAAAAAAATTCTGAAATCATAAAAATTGTCGAGAGTTAAAGTTGTATGAAAAAAATATCTATTACCTGAAAATATACTAGCTATTGCAGCAATAACAAAACTAATTACCACACCAGGACCAGCTATATTCTTGGCCACCATGCCGGCAACTAAATACATGCCGGTGCCGCAACAGGAACCGATGCCCAATGATGTGAGATCCAGAGTGTTTAGGCATTTCTAAAAATGGAAAGGGAATAGAAATAATGAAATATTAAGATGTGTTTGTGAATGTGTGTGTAAAAGCAAAGAGCTCCTGCCAACCCCCAGTAGTTAAGAACCAACGGCAATTAAGCAAATGTCCCTTTTGACAATTAATCCAAGAGTAATAAAAACATAATGGCATGGTTGGTGGATGAGATCTGTAACTAGCGTGGATTCATGACAAATTGGGTAAAATTCGAGCTGAAGTTAACTACCGCATTCACTTTTCCATGAGAGTAATTGCAAAAAAGTTTTGCATTGCGAACAGATCGCAAGAAAAAATATTTTACCGTATGGTAGAATTAAGAAGGTAAGGTCATGCAATCATATGTTTACAATTTTTTTTCGAAATTATTCATTTGACAACATCTAATTGTCAAAATTTATATTCATAAATCCATTGAATACACACAAATTCAGAGATGGGAACTGTTTTTTTATGCATTGAAATTTGACAAGGTAAATTACAGAAAATTCAGAGATTGGAATGCTTATTTGAAATGACTTTACCTTCATATTTTTAGCATGGTTTACAGTTAAAAAATAAAAAAAATTACGAAGTTATTTTGTAGAAAATGTCCGTTCCGGTTTTGATTATAGGCCAAATAATAGGTTTGTCTGGTTACAATAAAATTTGTAACAATTGCTACAAATTGTTTATTAACACAATGTTGAGAGATCATTCTCTGAGAGTTTAAAAATTCTTGCTGGACAAATTTCTTCTTGCAAGCACTTGCAACTCTTCTTCTTCTTCTCCTTCCTGTGATGCTTATTTGGGCAAGAAATTTTAAAAGATTTTTATTTTGAAAAATGCAAGCCCAATTGTTTGTTTTTTTGATACATTTTTAATGTTTACGTTCTTAATTTCTTTTATTTACGGTCAAATTGCTTTCTTTTAATAAATCAGCTGATGTCTTGCAACTTTTTGCAGGAATTTCGTCTGTTTACTTTTCACAGTTTTCTTGCAAAAGAGAATTAAATTACCTTACTCTCTCTCTCTCTCTCAGAAAAAAGTTGCTGGACAATTCCTGCTGGAAAAGTAACCAGACATACCTAATGCGTTCTACTTACTCTTCAATAATTCAATTAAATGTTGATATTTTTGGTAGTGCTTAACATGTGATGCTTTCTTAAGTGAAAATCACAATTGAATATCATTGGTATGTGAGTTTCGCTCCGGATGTAAAATAAATCCGGTCGTGAGACCAAAAATTTAAATTCCAAAATTGATTCGACAATTCATTGACCCAACAGCTGTGTCGATGCGACTACATGTATTCATCTACCATGTTTGGAGCACAAATAATAATCCCAAATATCTTATATGCAAAAGTCAAAATCGATCTAGAGTGCCCTACAACACAAACTAGCCGTGCATGCACATAGACAGCTCTTTTTACTGGATTCAGTCATCGATTGGATTCTTTGTAAAATAACAAAGAAGTTTTAGGTAGACTTAGTTCAATTTCGGCCCATAATTTATAGTTGTTAACCCTTAGAGAATACATAAACGCTTCTTTGACTAGCTTAAAGCTGGGAATACATAAAGCGCTTATTTGGCTGGCTTAAGTCATCGGCTGGCTTCTTCGGAAATGAACAAAGGAGCCTAGGGCCAAAATCGAACTAGGTCAACCTAAAACTCCTTTGTTCATCTACGAAGAAGCCAGCCGATGACTTAAGCCAGCCAAATAAGCCCTTTATGTATTTCCAGCTTAAGTCATCGACTGGATTCTCTGTAGAGAAACAAAGGAGTCTTAGGGTGACTTAGTTCGATTTTTGCCTCACGCTCCTTTGCTCCTTTCCAAAAAAAAAAACAGCCGATGACTTAAGTCAGTCAAAAAAGTGATTTTTATGTTCTCTCCTTTAAGTCATCAGCTGGCTTCTTCGAAAAATAACAAAGAAACGTAGGGTTAACAACTATAAATTATGGGCCGAAATTGAACTAAGTCAACCTTAAACTTCTTTGTTATTTTACAAAGAGGCCAACCGGTGATTTAAGCCAGTAAACAAAGCTGTCTATGTGCCTGCACCGTTAGTTTGTGATGTAGGGCACTCTAGATCGATTTTGACTTTTGCATATACGATCCTTTGTTTTTTTCCAGAAGAAGCCAGCGTCAAAAAAGCGTTTTATGTATTCTCAACGTTAAGTCATCAGCTGGCTTCTTCGAAAAATAACAAAGGAGCTTAGGGTTAACAACTATAAATTATGGGTCGAAATTAAACTAATGCCATGTTTACGTTAGAACTGTTTGTAGGATTAACCTACTTCGAGAGGATTTATTTGAAATAAAAGTAATGGATATGACAATTTAAATCCAAACCCAGTGGGTTAACCCTCATATATATAAACGTACTGTAAGTCAATTTAAAACTTTGTTGTTATTTTAAAAAGCCAGTAAAAAAGCTGTCTATTTACCTGCGCCGTTAGTTTGTGATGTAGGGCACTCTAGATCGGTTTCGACTTTTGCATATAAGATAGTCACATCGACATTACAACCATAATCATTACAAAACACCATACAAATTAAGGAGAAAATGGATAAAGAAATTAGTGAATTAGCACAAGGAGTAAAAATATTGATGTCATTGTGGGAACAACTGTGGGCGAAAAATTCTCATATATTTGCGAAATATAAACCCACAACCATGTTAAAGTTAAGAAGGTTAAGTCATTTCAAATAAGACTATTCACCTCTGCAATTTCTGTAATTTACCTTGTCAAATTCCCATGGTAGAAGAATATAGGTAGATGCATCAACGCTTAGAAACATTAATATGTCAAAAAATTTTCAATAGTTTTCAAATATAAGTAGAGTTTTATAGGTTTTCTTATACAGCGTCAATCGGAGATTAATATGATATGCGTTTTTTTTTAATTTTTACAAATTTGATTAAGTTTTCATTCAAAATTTTCAATTCCAAAAAATTTTTGACAGTTCATTGTCCCAGCAGCTGTGTCGTTGCGTCTTCATTGAATAGAAAACATATTCCCATCTCTGCTTTCTGTGTGTATAATGGATTTATAAATATAAATTTTGACAATGAGAGGTTGTCAAATGAATAATTTTGAAAAAATTGTAAAAATATGGTTGCATGGCTTTGCCTTCTTAATTCTACCATGTCCATAATTTTAAATAAATTTTTCATCTTTTTTAATATATTGAAGCTCAAACTTTTTTGTGTCAATTTGCTCCATTTTTTATTTTCACAAAATATTTCTCGTGTTTATTAGTTTTTCTTCTTCTATTTTGTGTTTATTCGTAAACAAAGATCTTCTGACAACTTATACCCTCTCGGAGTGTATCTAAACACGCAAGATTAACCCACTGGATCTAATAAACCCAGTGCCATAGTATAAACATGCTATAAGAAAGGTTGTTCAACTTCAAAGCAACTATGAAAATACAACTCTGTACTGGAGACTTATTGTATCAAATAAATATACGATATGCATCACATGATTCCTTACAAGCAATAATAAATAGTTTATGTATCTACTTATCGCTCCAGTAGCTCCTGCCGAGTTCCTTACAATACTCACCGTTAGCTTTGGCTTTGAAGGTTGTGTTGTGCCGTCCTGCAATTGTTTAACATCTTTGGTGCGTATTAATTTTGGCAGCAGTGTTGATGTCGACACCCCGGGTGGCAAGGGAACTTTGAATTTGACCTGCAATAGATGAAATGGAACAAATGAAAATATATTAGATTACAGAATGTTAGGGATACACATATGAATGTTGGCATATGGTAATAAAAATAAAATATGACTACTTTACAAATAACCTGTCAAGCAAATGCACATATATGTGTGCCATCGAAAAATATTGCAATGACGAAGTTATAAAGCTATTAATTTTAACTAAATTTTTGTGGTTCTTGCGCCATATGGTACAGTACTTTGTTGGTGTAGAAAATTTTACATCTTTCCGATAAATAAAAAATATGTTGTCGGACACATAACTCGTTTTTCGTTATAACAAGTTTCATTTAAGTATGATCTGTCCAATGAGCAAAAATTTAGACCTTTATCTTTACCGTAAATTAAATTAATGTTGCCATATTTTATGTTGATAATATGGCAATAACAGCAAATGTATTCAATTTTTAAAATAAACTGAAGATGCCACTGTGAAAAAATGCAGCGACTACCAGTTATTTTTACAAGAATGTTGCCACATCTCTGTAAAAAAATCATTTATTGTAACGGGAAGATGTAATAATGAAAACCCGATAATGTGAACTTCATCTTTTATTTTACTTAAAGTAAATGATAACAAAAGTGGTCAATAACGGAAAGACATATGAACAGGCCTATGAATGAGTTTTTACTGCAAATTAAATTTTATATATTTTTACCCAACGAACAGACAACACGAAAACAACATGAAAATAGGGTTCGCTATGATCGAAAAATTACGTATGTACTCTACTCATGTATTTCACGACTAAAAAGTCGTGCATTTTTCTCGAGAGATATTTCCTCCAATCATGAATAATTAAGGAAAAAAATTCGTGAAGATGGCAACGTGAGTGGGGCGTTTTTGTACCTAGTGTATCCTATTTGTTGTACAAATTGGTTCATTTGTTTCTTGTTTTTATAAAAATGAAGTAATAAAAAAATAATTTTCGATATGAGGATTTGAATATATGTGTCAAATGTTATTAATGCCATGTTTACGTTTGAACTTTTTGTAGGGTTAACCTACTTTGAGAGGATTTATTTGAAGTAAAAGTAATGGATATGACAGTTTAAATCCAAATCTAGTGGGTTAACCCTCATATATATAAACGTACTATAAGTGTGTGGAGCAACATAGGCGTTTGGCATAAAATAATGTGTTATGTAAATTTGATGTGTTATGTAAATAAATATACGACTTGCCACTAACTTCATGCATGCTTTCAAATTGCAGTGTCAAAGTCTGTTCCACGATATCGAAAGAAAATGCGTGCGAACGAAAGCCAGTCACTCAATTTCGTATCAGAATAATTTATCGCGAAATTAAACAAAAAAACGCATAGACAATTTTCTTTCGTAGGCTGTAGTACCCATTACGAATTTCAAATACCAAATTTGAAACAATTCCGGAGAATTATGTCGCTAAAATCATCAAAATACTGAATATCGGGAGGTACCGTTATATGAGGGCTATACGAAGACGTGGACCTGCACTGAGAATTTTATGTCATAGGCTGTAGTACCCATTACGAATTTCAAATACCAAATTTGAAACAATTCTGGTGAATAATGTCGCTAAATTCATTAAAATACCGAATATGGTGAGGCACCGTCATATGGGAGCTATACGAAGGCGTGTACCTGCACGGACAATTTTCTGTCGTAGGCTGTAGTACCCATTACGAATTTCAAATACCAAATTTGAAACAATTCCGGTGAATAATGTCGCTAAATTCATTAAAATACCGAATATGGTGGGGTACCGTCATATGGGGGCTATACGAAGGCGTGGGTCTGCACAGACATTTTTCCGTCATAGTATGGAGTATCTTTTACGAACTTCAAATACCAAATTTGAAACAATTCTGGTGCATAATATCGCTTAAATCACCAAAATTCCGAAAAAATGGAGGTACCATTATATGGGGGCTATATGAAAACGTGGACCTACATGGCCCATTTTCAATATGAAAAGTCCTGCAGACATAATATAAAATTGAGTAAAATTTTATCAACTTTTCTGTAAGCTCTCTTATACGATAGATTGTCGGAGGTTGCATTTTTCAACAATTTATAGAAATTTGAATTATTTTTCATTCAAAATTGTGCCTACCTATATTATTCTTCCATGTTAAAGACATAAATGCAATATACAAATTTTGGTAAAATATTAGGGTGGGAATACATAAAACGCTTATTTGGCTGGCTTCTTCGGAAATGAAAAAAGGAGCCTAGGGCCAAAATCGAACTAAGTTAACCTAAAAATCCTTTGTTCCTCTACGAAGAAGCCAGTCCATGACTTAAGCCAGCCAAAAAAGCGCTTTATGTTTTCCCGCCTTTATTAGATTTCTGTGATTTAAATCCGTAAGACGTGACCGATCAATAAGATGCTTTTCAATCTCAACTATTTTTCACCTTCCACCCGAGTTATTGTACCATGCCATACCATGTCATCTGTTGCTTTAAGCACTGTTATGACAGCTTTATTGTTTCGTTGATGGTGCGTGCCATTGTCAGCGGAGATGACAATTAAGATTGTGCCAGCAATTATGATTCCTGCCATTAGAAGTTCCTCTTTAACATCTCAAGTTTCTCCCCCGCATTTTCTCGTATTTCCCTTTCTCTTCATTTTCTTGTTATTCCACTTAACTTCCTTAACACTCATCGTAGTTAAGTGCTGCTTGATGAAGGTTGTATGTAGCGAGATGTTGTAGTCGTTATTCTGTTTCTGCTTCCTATTGATTTGTTTTCGGGAATTTTTAGTCCTTATTCTTGTTGCTATCTTTAGGCCTATTCAAGGTTTTGTTCGATAACCTTCCGAGAAAAGGAAGCGCGAGAGAGAAAGGATGGGCTGTGATTGTGTATTTGTTTTTTTGTGTCCCCACAGTTAATGCCGAGTGTCAGTTATGCCATAATGACGGGTACTTGTTGCAAATATCAATTTACCAAGTACACACACAATGGGAGTATTTCTCCCATCTCCTCCCACCTCTCTGAGTATCTATTTCCACGTAATGTCATGATGAACGTGAGTTCCCCTTTTTTCAGTTCTATTGTGCGTGGCCTTACTGTGTTGTGTGTGTGTGAGTGTGCCTGTTTTAGAGAGAGCGCATTGATGATTTCAATTAATTTTCAAGCAGCACTTATTCACTCACTCACTCACTCACTCACTTTCGCTCCCTCTCATCCATTCATTCCATATTCCCATTCACCATCAGGGTTAGCTCCCAGCTTTCATTGCTGTGCCTGATTGATTTTGCAAAAAACGATTAAGATTATGATTGAATGCCATAAAAGTTAGCTCAAACAAACAATTGGCCATGAGTATTCAAGTGTTAGAAGGCTATTGATTCTATTCATAATATTTATTTCTTTTATTATTATTTTTCTTTGTAGATTTATTTTGATTGATCATTTAAGTTAATATGTTTTGCTCATAAATAGGAAATAATTGTAGGGGATATACATAAAGAAAACGGGGGAGAGGGAGAGTAAAATTTATCATATTCAGAAATAGATTTAGTAAAATGTCAACATATTTGGTCATATATTGGTGCTGGAAATACCTAATTCAAATATCATTTTACTTTTGCTCATATTTTAAATGGGAATAGCATCATATTTATAGACAAATTTTCATGTGTCAGTAAACTCAAGGAAACTTACAGCCTGTTCCACGATCTCGAAAGAAAATTTGTGCGAACGAAGGCTACTCACTCACTTTCGTATAAGAATGCGTTCCACTAACTTTCGTTCTTTCTTTCGCATAGCCTTACGTGATTCAGTGTTGCTAAATATTTTTTGAAAAAATTAATCGCGAAATAAGGCAAAAAAAGCGCCAAATGTCTAATTTAAACGCGAAAAAGCAACAGTGGCTCTGTCTCAACTGACAGTTCAGTTGTAAACAAACAAATTGTAAATAAACAAACAAAATAAAATTTCTAGTGATTGTGTTCAAACTATTTGTGTTCTTAAAAAATAAAAAAAAATGAATATTTCCGTAGCCCTATTTTTTATGGATGATGTGGAGGAGGTTCAAAATGTGCCACGGAGGCATTAAAGAGATGCTTCGAATTTATTTGAAGTACCTAACAACCAGTAAGTATTATTGTATTTTTACATTTTTGAAATAATAAAAAATTATTTTTTTCTAGGTTTGTGGCCAATTTTCGTGTGTCGAAGGAAGTTCTTCGGGCTCTTTTGGATATGATGGAAGAGATGAGGGTGCTTGGTTGCAGAACTACCCAAATCCGCCCAGATTTAAAACTTCTTCTGCTGCTTCCAAAAATTGGCACTCCTCCGGCGAACTCAGATTCTCCTCCATATACTCAACTAGTGACCGCAGCTGAGCAGTTGATGATTTTTTCGTGCTGGAATTGAGAAAATAAAAAAAAATATATATATTTGTTGTTCACATATTAAATTGCATTTATTATTTTTACTTACATTTTTGTTTCCATTTTAAGTCAAGCAATGTTTATGTTAAAACAATTCTCCTTAATTGTTATCATACGACAGCAAACACACAAGTGACTGATTTTGACATTTGTGTTCGCATGCGTACGAAAGAAAAAAAATAGTGGAACGCAAAATTACACTGAAACGCTTACGTTTTCGTTCGCTTTGATTTTCGTGCAAATTTTCGTTCTGATGGATTTTAGTGGAACGGAAAACAGCTGTTTGTCGTGTAAAAGTTGTGCGAACGTGTTCTTTCGATATCGTGCAACTGGCTGTTAATAGAGTTTGGCTTCACTTCTAAAATGGAACTAGTTCCCAATTCCCGTTTGTACTATTGTTACTTTTAACTCTTTCGTTCCCACAAGTTCAATCGTTTCCAATTCTTAAATGGAACTAGTTCCCAATTTCTTTTTGTTCAATAGTTGCTTTTAACTCTTTCGTTTCTTCAAATTCAATCGTTTTTCTTTCTATAGAGCCTAAATGAAGCCATTTTCGATGAAATTCGAAGGCTTTTGTAGTTGGGTACCAAT